GTAAAACGACTGAAGCGGTACCTCCGCCCCTTCGCCACATCTTCGACGCGATTACTCTACACCGTACATGGACCGATCGTTCCGTGGAGCTTTATACGCGAGTAATTTGTGTACATACGCCTATTTGCCTGAAATTTTATTTTGGATTTAACAAGAAAAAAAGAATTTTTGTTTTTTATTTTCATAAAATAGGGCAAAATAAACTTATTGCGCTAATAATTGGAAAAAGGCGTAAACGGCAGTTCCAACCCTTAACGTAGGAGCTATCGATTGATATAATCAATTAGTTTTTGTAGTTGTGTTGTGTAATTGGAATTTCAATGAGCAACGGCAAAATTTCTTTTCATCAATTTTTTTTAGAATATTAAGAACATTAAATGCCTGCAAGTTCTATTGCACTTATGCATCTTTTCTTAGAAATAGAAGAATTGTTTTCTTTTATTTATTGAGTTGAGAAAAACGAAGAAAAATTGTTTTTAACCGACTTAAAAAAAGGAGGAGGTTTCTCAATTCGACCGTATATATTTTTATTTTTTTATGTGTGTTCGGGGATAACTTCGTTATTTATGAACCGATTTTGATGATTCTTTTTTTGTTGGAAAGGAGATATCCAAAGGATGATACCCAGATCTGATAATGGCATCCCAGAGAAATCGAGGGCAATCCTCAACTGTTATAGGAGTTGACAATGTTGTTTTACTTTCCTGTTTGAAGTCGGTTTTTTTTTGTTCAAAATTATTTTTTATTTAAGCACACCAAATCAAAAACATAATATAATACACATAATGACTGTAAAATATAAATGCAAATGTACTTTACAGTGCTGGTTGTATTATCGTCAAATTTGGAAAGCCTTCGATTTTATTTTGGTTGAATTTTTTTACTTTCTGGTCCCAAATATATATAAAAATATTATTTAAATGGTGCTATATTTTACATGTTTACAATAAATTCATTCAATTTATTCAAAAATGATGTGAGGTGTGTTCAAGAAATTTAAATTAACCAAAAACCTTTTTCCCGATGTGTCATTAATAAATTCCACATGCTTATTTAAATTGAAAATATTAAACTTTGTCGAACTAAATTGATTTTTCATGTTCGTTGGATCGATGACACACTGAATTGTACTTATACAGTCTTCTATACAATAATAAAAACAACTCGTTTATAACACCGATATTAAGAATGGGAATGTCACTGGATGTAGGTAGTGCTATGCATACTAATTTGTTAATACGAAATATATTCGTCCTTTTTAGTACGCTTAGGAAATCTTTCCATTTAAAGCGTCCGCATAAATGTCAATTTTGCATGAGGTCCGAATTTGATTTTTACATATATTTATTGCCCCATGCCCATTTACTGCTCTACTTGTATATTGTCACTAGCTTTATTATTATTGTGCATTTTATATTTTCTTAACTGCTTAATGACCAGGTATAAAAGTTACAAAATGTTAAGGCACAAGTAGGTAAAATGGTAAGGTACCTACTTACAAAACAAATAATTTTCTGGCTTTCACTTTTATGAAGGTTGACATAAAAAGTAATCTTAAATTACAATATCGACATAGGAATAGCATATTAAAGAAATCCGCTGTAAAAAAAAAGTGATTTTAATATTCCCCGTTCCGCATTGGACCTGGCATCGGAATATTCCTCATACTGATGGGGTGTGCCCAGTGTCTGATCAGGTCAAGGCGATCATAAACAAACTGCCATTTGACTTATAGCTATGCTGTGTAATACAGAATTTTTTAGATTACGCGGAAACATGAGTTTACTGCTTTCGAGTGCTATAAAGTCGTTAACTCAATTGTTTACGATTTCCGTAACAATAACCTATGTGATAGTAAAGAATGCTCACTGCATGACGACAAAATTATCTTATCAACGTACTTGTTATTTCTTTCAGCTGGTTTATTAATATTTATTATATATAGTTTATTAATAAGCATTTGTCCATAATGGCATGTAAATCTAAAATAAGCTATTATATAACAGATATTAATGAAAAATAAAAAAGTATTTAAAACTTTTTAGCCGGCAAATATTAAAAGATTCTTTAAATTGCTTGCTGAAGTGCATGTTTATTCAATAAAAACTAGACATATACTTGAAACTACAATCATCAGAAGTTTGATGTTAAGATTTTCCTTTTGTACGGCAGACGCATATTACAAATTAAATTCGTCGTTACAGATGCTTATCACCTTGTCGATTTAAAAGGATAAAATTGTTATCATCACGTTAATATACTTTTATGAAGCATCAAAATCGAGTCGATGCCAGCTTGTCAAGGTTTATAAAAAAACCACGTATCAATTATCTAGGTCAAGGATAAATATACCAGCAAAAATAACAGCGTTAAGGCCCAGAAGGGCATGATTATTGATTTTTTTCTCATAAAGTTTCACGACTAAATCTGTACAGTATTTAGTAAGAACTGCAATTTTAATGATTTATTTTTTGTTACAGTTAATAACGAAGGTAATCTATTTATTCATTTTTACTACCTCTTAAATTGTATTCTAAAATAATATTATTTCACACACTAGCTAAGTCGTGAAATATTTATTCGTACTGTACGTTGCTTGTTTCACATATGACATTCCTAATTACGGTAAATCGGTCAAGATTATGAACTTGGTAACGCGATAGCAGTGTACTAAAGGTAAGATTATCAACTATTATATCCAACTCTGTTTAAATGGACTACCTTCAATTAGATGTTAATGTATTCTTTCGTCGGAAATGTTGCAGTTCTTGGATTTTCATTAGCGGTACCTTCGGAAAGCGTAACTGCATTTGAATATCTAATTTGATCTGAATTTATCTCGTGATAAGAAAATTAATATAAACTTTATTTTAAGCTGTCTTTAATTTCGAATAGAGCCGTGATAGCTCAGTGTCCGGGCGCTCGCCTTTAATTCAATATATACTCGAGCAACCTGAGTTCGATCCCCGGTGCCGGCATAAATGAAGTTTTTAACTTTAAGTGCTGAATTATCACGTGCTCCGCGGTGAAGGAAAACATCGTGAGGAAACCTGCATATTTTCGAAATCATAACAAAAAAAAATGTATTTCGAAGATATGTGAAGTCCGCCAATCCGCAATGGGGCCGCGTGGTGGACTATGCCCTGAGGCCTTTGCCCAGCAGTGGGACATGTATAGGCTGTTACTTTACTTTTTTCCTTTTTTTTCATTTCGAAAATGGTATTGAAGCTGTTAATTGATACTTACGTGTTCTTACTTACGCGCTTCATGACAATATTTTGTTTTGACAAATTGGTTCGGCCTACGTTACGGTTCCATTCGTTTTTAGAACCTTATTACTTAATAAATTCATGACATTAATTTCAATTTGTATTACGTTTATTAACGCTGCCAGCTAAATCTGATAATAATTGAATATTTTTATTGTACTTGCCACCGGCTTCATTCAAGTTTCTACTTACTCTTTCTTATAAGTTCTCATTTAATCGAGAACATCTGCTGATAGAATTGAAACGAGTTCTAGCATTAATTAAAGTCCAACACCAGTTGTTACCAGAGAAATATAACGATTTCGAAATAGAAAATTACCCTGGAAATATGTAGGCATATATTTTTCGCCAGAATATTAGCTGCCAAGTTTAAAAAAATTATAATATTTAATTTCTAATTTATCAAATCCTTTTCGGTATCAGTGCAGAAAATATATCTATTTAGAAAATAAAATAAGGATTATTCGACTTTTAATTAACAATAAAAAAAAGCAGTGTTAAGTGCTCAAAAACGGTTTTATAGCGGTCGCTTGGAATAAAACGATTTCCATAACAAAAATAGATAGATACTAAAGTACGACGGCTCCGGTTTCTTACAATGAATCTAGATCAATAAGGAAGACTTGGCAGGAAAAAGAAATCAACAGAAACTTTCCATTAATTGAAATTAATTATTGAGATCGGTAATTAAATAAAATTAATTGTTCAGAGATTTTTTTAATAACGAATAATTAATATTGTTTCTACAAAAATTCCCTTTATCATTTCAAGAGCTCCAAGAGTTAAAGAATAATAAAAATTAAAACATGATTGTGTGCTCTTCATAAATGGGTATCTATTTAGCCTCTTTGAACTAACCTTTTTTGGAAAACTATAGTAAGTATTACAAGTGAGATCACATCTATCGTCTAATTCAATTAGTTTCCTTTAAAAAACGAAGTAAGCTTATTCGATTTCCAACCTTATCAAGCAAGTCAAATAAAAAAAATAATGACAGTTAAAGTCTATCAATAGTGTGTTCTTTGTCATTGTATACGTGTTTGAAAAATTCGCTACATCACGCTGACAAAAAATTGATCCAAATATCGTGCCTAACAAAAAAGGGATTGGTAGTTTATGCCCTCTCTTAAGTTATTGTATTAATAAAGTTCATTGTAAAGTGACTCATGAATCACATAATGTTCTTTAAGAATTGTGTAATTGACAATACGATACCTTCATGTTAGTTACTGGCTATAAAACTTTTTTCATGTATTATCGTTATAAGTCCAAATGACACTAATATTACAATATATACAATAGTAATAGTTTAGGAGCCTCAATAAAAAAATTGTAATCGTTATCAATAATTTCACTTAAAAAAATATTACTTGACGTTTACAAAAAAATCTGCACGAATCCACAATCCCACATTATTAAAACAAACGTTGAATTATAAAGAACAACATTTAAAGACTACTTATAGTGGTTCCGCAAATAGTAAAATAATAAAGAATATGCGACAGGAACGTGAATGTAAGTAAATAGTTTCAATAACATGTTCATACAGGTTATTTTATTTTAAAACAACATAATTGTACATTGGAAGTTGTAAACATAACCAAACAATAAATTATTTTTGGTGTCTTTCGCAGCTATTCTTAGCCAGACGGCAGTGTTGCCAGTACTGTCAAAATACGAAACGAGGAACAAGACGTGTTAATATAAATAATTAAAAATGAAAACACTAACCACTGAGAGCCGCCACATATTCTCTCCATTTGCTTCGGAAACTCATTGCTTCTTATCACTGTATATATTGAAAAAAACATTTATAATTTTATAACGGTTTCCTGTCCATGTGTCTGCACCGTGTTATAGTGTGCCGGTTTGCGAGTGTATTTACTTGGGACTAATTTTATACGGCCACGTGTTGCCCGCGTTTCGCTACAATCGTGAATGGTCGGCTCGTCGTGTTGATGCAGACAATATTCCCATTCTGTTGACGGTTTCAGCTGACAATACGCGTTTGCGGACAGTTGACGCCGTCCGCAGCGGGGCGCAGCCGGCGGGCTTATGTTGTTTCTGTCGTTTTAGATAAAGCCACGCTTTGTTGTTTGCATTATCATTCATTACGTTGCGTTCAGTACAATGATAACGTCATGTTTGTACTTCGATCGGTTTCTCGTACCTTGACGGTTTTGTTAAAAATAGCAGTTGAGTTTTTTTTTCAAGTCAGCTCATTTTTTCCAAGGCTTCAAAATGTATCGACGAAAATAATATTTATCAAGATTTTCATATCATGTTCTATGTATATATTTTTATAGAATTTATGTTTATGATATTATTTAATACTAGCTGACCTGGCAAATGTTGTTTTGCCATATTAATTATTTCCAGGGAATTTGTAAATCTGAACACACAGGTAGGAACAGTTTGTATGGGAAAATAAAATTGTTGCTATTTCGATTTTCCATGAACTTTTCCATAATTTCCATTCATAATTAAAAACCAAACTTAGCCAAATCGGCCCAGTACTTTTTGTTCTTTTCAAGCTGTCTATATACGCGATTTGCTATTTTATTTTTTAAACATACGGGCGAAGTATTGTTCTTTGCTGTAGAAATTAAATTTTTTTCAATAGAAATACGATATAACTCAAAAAAGAAATATATGTAAATACGTAGTTTCGAAACAACAAGTAACTTCGTAGTATTTTCCTTTTATATGTGTGCAAACATGTGCACACTTTATTCTTATTGAATTTCATTTCTCAGTGGCTTTGTTCTATATATTGTGGTTTGCAGAATAAGTCTGATAAAAGATTTATTATTTTGCGTGGTTATAACACACAATATAATATGTCAAATCTAGACTCAAAGACATTTCTTTTGATCATTTGTCTTTATATGAAAACGAAAATATGTTTTATGACTGTATTCAAGGTTTTAGGATGTAATGTAGACGTATTTTTATAGATATCCGTTTAAATTGAGTGTTATAGCAATTTGGAGCAATTATCATTTATGTGTTGAACTAATCAGTTCTTATGTTGAGGGCTACATATTAATGTAAAAACTTATTTGAGTTAAGGGCATTATAAGGTATTTAGATATAAATTCTGATAAATAGAAGTGGAAAAGTATGAACGCAAGATTAAGGCTGACGTAATCTAGTAGTTGCAAATTATTATCCCGCTAATTGCTGATCCAAGCTAACAATGATTCGAGACGTTCTTGATGAGCTTCACAGACACTACACGTGATATGTTTAAATGCTTTCACAGATTCACTCTAGGATAAATAATATTTCATGGATTAAGCAATACGCGAATTAATGTTAAACCTAGGCATAGTAGAAAATAAAGAATTAAATTGCTTTTGTTTCCCAAATAGTATATATTAGTGAGTTTGTCGGTGAGCTTTTGGGGAATATTTTTTTTTGCGACGGTGGATTCTTTAAGTGGAATAAATATTTTAAATATTTCACCTTTCTTGAGCCGTTTTTCTGCGTTCGCGGTATTATAACAGGTGAAGTTTTTCTTTCTTTTTATTTTTCTTTTATTTTTGTAGTAAAACATTGCCCTTACCTTAGGATAACATTATCCTGTGTTTTAAGGACGTTTTACAAACATAAATTTCACGCGGACAAACACCCAGATGCGAAACAACTATTTGTGGGTCACACAAATAGTTGTCCCGTGTGGGAATCGAACCCACGACCCCCGACGCTGAAGCCAATACCTTGGCAAATGCGCCACGGAGTCATCACGAAGTATGCACCAGACCGCAAAAATCTCACGCATATTTTTACATGGTGAAATTGCACCCCAGGATGTAAGTATTTTTTGTTATTATAGAATTGACTTCTTATTTTTTTCATACGACCTCTCAAGTACAATATGGGAGCGAGGGCGTGCCGACGATTTAAGGCACTTATTAGAGTATTCTGAAGCTGCGCCGATTAAATATAACGAAAAACTGTGTATAACAAGTAAGCACATTTTAATAATGACAAATCTAGGTATTTAACATTTTTTTAAGGATATAAGAGATCAGCAAGATACACAAACACCTTTTTATTCCGTTTCAGCTCCGACGCTCCGGTTTTCTTCACAATGCCTAAAATAGATGGGTTTATGAAAAAAATCAATAAGGAACATATTGCGTGATTCATGTTTGGCGATAACGTATCAGAGTTTAAATATTTGCCTGGCTATTTCTCACAGTACGAACTGAAAAATTATACACGGTAAACCCTATTAAACATTTTGTTCAAATAATAAAATGGGCATCAGTAGACGTGAGACAAACGTTTTGGATGGCTTGTTTTTGAAAAATATATAATAAAGACATATCTATGAAGGCCATGTAAAAGCAACGATGTATGTAGAATTTTACTACTAATATCGTTGGAATGGAGGAAAAAAACTAAAGTAAAATAGTGAATTGGTTGGCACGAGTAATAAAGATGATTACGATGCAAGTTTCACATTAAAGAATGATGATTTATTTCAAAAGCAAAATTTATGATTGTCGCGTTTTTAATTTGTCATAAAAATATACATAATCTATAATACTTCATCGCCTAAACACAATGTTACAATATGACGTCGTATTTTATATCAATTCAGTTCAGTTTTAGTCTTAAATTTAATCAGTAATTTACACTCATTTTGTCACAATTTACAATCAGTTTAATCTACTCGAGTTCAGATCCCGGTCCCGCAAGTAATAAAATAGTCAAATGCAAAATGTTTTAATAGTATAATGTTAAATCCGCTACAATCGTTCAGTTTCGCCTTGATCTTAATTGGTAGGTATAGGTACTACCCCACTGAACTTTATAAAAATTAACTTAAATAATCGTTTTGACAGTTTAATTCGTTTGAACTTAAACAGAAATTATTTGGATCTGGTCAAGTGCAATTAATTTGGATTTTAATTTCCAAAGTTCAAAAAAATTTTTTTTTAAATTAAATTTAGGTTGATTGACGATTTTGTTAGCTGTAGTAGAGCAAGGCAGCGAAAGCTGACGAACCGTCTTGGGAAGTGTCATTTCGTCTGATATTTATTTTTTAAAAACATTGCCTTAAGTTTGGGATAACATTGTGTTGTAAAGACGTTTAACAAACAAATTGAACGCGGACAAACACCCAGATGCGAAACAACTATCTTGGCTTGGGTTAGAGTCCCACACGGGACAAATAGTTGTTCCGTGTGGGACTTGAACCCAAGCCAATATTCTGGCAACTGCGCCACGGAGTCATAAAGCAGAAATATTTGTGAAAGTGAAAATATGAAGTGAAAGTGAAAATATTTGATTTAATTTTTGAGATCATTTATATTGATTGGTACTGACAACATTTTTGTTGTAAGGCACGTGACTGATTAGTACATGCGATATATTTTATTCTCGTAGTTATTGTGGATTTGATTAACACATTGATTGTTAAATAAAGCTGGCTTTATCTTCTTTAATTTTGTTTATAGATCACGTTGGAACCACTTTACAGCATTTATGGTCACTGGATAGACTGAGGAGTTTGACGTCCTAATATCAAAGTTCACTCAGGCATCAGGATCAGTATCGTGAGCTCTTCGATTATTCATTTTGGTCTTATCTTTGCAATATTTGTAAAAAGTCACTGTACTTGGACTTTTTAAATTACTAGCTGTTCCGTGTGATCGCCCCGTAGGGTCCTAGCGTGATGTTAAATAAACTACAAACTTTCATAAAAATTGGGCCATCAATGCTATTTTTTCAAATCCAACAAAATCCAAAATGGTACTTTCAGAGATTAGCGCATTCAAACAAAAATTCTTCAACTTTATTATACGAGTATTAGTATAGATTAGATCCCGAGTCGGTGATAGCATTGTACCTTTTTCCCCGATTGAAATTAGGATGATTCTTAGGTAACGCTGTATTTAATGCTTTACAGTTATCTATGCTCTTTCACGAAAACAATATAAACTGCATGCTTTTACAAAAGGGACGAACGGATACGTGAGACTGCATTTCTTATACACATGTAATCCTTGAATTAATTTTCAATGAATACGTCATATTCTTAATTAATTAAAAAAACATTAAGTAAACATTGTAAAACTTATGCATATACTTTATCATAAGTCTTGTTGGATATAAAATTTGGTTGTTATGTACTTAACATCAACCGATTCAGGCTGCAGCTAAAGGCACGTTGTTCTGTCATTATCTTCCTTACATGTGTTCCTGCATGTCAGTGCAAGTTTATTTTAAATAAATGTTAGGTAAACAATAGACTAATTGGACGGAACAAAGTCTGATAATGATGCTTTTACACACGTTCCCATAATTACGCGACGATTGTATTTGAAAAAACAATGTAGATAATTTTAAACAACGGTCATTTAGTGGAAAGACGATAAAATTACACTTCGAAGGCGTTCGAAAGTACATGCAAAGCAAAACATTTTGCAGATACATAATTTAATTCAATAGATTTCATAAGAGACTAGTGCCGACTAAAATAATAAACTTATATGCAGTATATTTCAAAGCATTTCTCACTACATTCGGGCTAATTAATCTATTAAAATAAATTAGTTTCGTATAAAATACACACGTCGACATCGAACTCCAATATGGCGAATAAAAATTACGTTTAGATGCACTTCTGTTGCAATCATGCCTTCGATAACTTACTTGATTAAATCTGCAATTTCGCGAAAGGACACAAAAATCGTATCACAGAAGTAGGTAAGTGCAAGTATATTCGTTTTCCTTACGAGTTTTTGCAAATCTTTGTAAATA